AAAGACCCTGAAACTCTAACCCTAACCCTTTCATTACCTTCAAACCCTAACACTATGGCACTCTGCCTCCTAACCCCAAACCCTAAATATACTAAAGACCCTGAAACTCTAACCCTAACCCTTTCATTACCCTCAAACCCCTAATACTATGGCACTCTGCCTTCTAACCCCAAACCCTAAATATACTAAAGACCCTGAAACTCTAACCCTAACCCTTTCATTACCCTCAAACCCTAACACTATGGCACTCTGCCTGCTAACCCCAAACCCTAAATACTAAAGACCCTGAAACTCTAACCCTAACCCTTTCATTACCCTCAAACCCCTAATACTATGGCACTCTGCCTTCTAACCCCAAACCCTAAATATACTAAAGACCCTGAAACTCTAACCCTAACCCTTTCATTACCCTCAAACCCCTAATACTATGGCACTCTGCCTTCTAACCCCAAACCCTAAATACTAAAGACCCTGAAACTCTAACCCTAACCCTTCCATTACCCTCAAACCCCTAATACTATGGCACTCTGCCTTCTAACCCCAAACCCTAAATATACTAAAGACCCTGAAACTCTAACCCTAACCCTTTCATTACCCTCAAACCCCTAATACTATGGCACTCTGCCTTCTAACCCCAAACCCTAAATATACTAAAGACCCTGAAACTCTAACCCTAACCCTTTCATTACCCTCAAACCCCTAATACTATGGCACTCTGCCTTCTAACCCCAAACCCTAAAGACACTGAAACTTTAAACCCTGTGCCAGGTCTTCTTCATCCTCGTCGTCTTGGAAAAAACATTAAAAATGTAGAAAAAATAGTTTTTTTGGTTTTTAAAGTTTTTAAACAATTTTAAAAGTTGTTTAAAGTATTTAAAAGTATCTCAAAATCTTTTAAAGTTTGTAAAAGCTTTAAAAAAGTTTTTAAAAGTCTTTTAAAGTCTTTTTGAAGCTTTTCAATGTCTTTTAAAGTTTTTAAAAGTATTTTAAATATTTTAAAAGCCTTTTAAAGTTTTGAAAAGTATGTTAAAGTTTGTAAAAGTATTTTAAAGGTTCTAAAAGTCTTTTAAAGTTTTTAAAAAAATTTACAAGGTCTTTTCTTGCATTTTTAAAGCTTTTAATATTCTGTAAAAGTTTTTAAAAGCCAAATCTGTCGAACAAGCCCTGTGGATCTAAACCCTGTGGTTCTGGTTCGGTGCAAAAGACCAATGATTAAGGTTCCGAACATTAGTGTTCGAAACTGGGGTTCGAATACCAGTGCTTGAACTCTGGGTTCGAACACCAGTGTTTGAACTCGAGGGTTCGAACACCAGTGTTTGAACTCGGAGTTCAAACACTGGTGAATGTTCCTTCTCTCTTTTTTTCTTCGCAGAAAGCATCCATAAAGCGAGTTGGTGTGGCTTTCTCTTGTGTCGTAAAAGCGTTTTAAAAACCAGTGTTCGAATCTAGGGTTCGAACACTCTCGAACTCCGGGTTCGAACACTGGTGTTCGAATTCGGGTTCGAACATTAGTGCTCAAACCTGGGGTTCGAGTCCAGTGTTTGAACTCTGGATTCGAACACCAGTGTTTGAACTCGAGGGTTCGAATACCAGTGGTTCAAACACTGGTGAATGTTCCTTCTCTCTTTTTTTTTCTTCGCAAAAAGCCTCCATAAAGCGATTTCGTGTGGCTTCTCTTCTTTTGTGTTCGTAAAAGCGTTTTATAGACCAGTGTTCGAACACCAGTGTTCGCACTCGAGGTTCGAACACTGGTGTTCGAATCTAGGGTTCGAACACTAGTGTTTGAACTCCGGGTTCGAACACTGGTGTTCGAACTCGAGGTTCGAACATTAGTGCTCGAACCTGGAGTTCGAATACCAGTGTTTGAACTCTGGGTTCGAATACCAGTGTTTGATTTCGAGGGTTCGAACACCAGTGTTTAAGCTCGGGGTTCAAACACTGGTTCGAACCTGGGGTTCAAACACCATTGTTCAAACTCGGAGTTTGAACACTGTGTTCGAACCCGGAGTTCAACTCCGGTTCCAGGTGTTCGAACTTGGAGTTCAACCCTAAGTTCTAGTGTTATGTTCCCGGGCTCTCCGGAACACTGCAAAAACCTATGCTCGGGGCGATATGGCTGCAACCGTTCCAACGCGGAGTTACGACTTCGAAGCAACTGCTGCAGTTTCAACCTTCGGCTCCTCCGTGCTCCACTACTCCGCTCTGAGCAGACGCGGCAATTCCTCAAATACTGGCGCCTTTACCACGAAGACAATGTGGTTCGCCTGCTGGAGCTGTGGTCGCCCGAGTGGAAGCATCGCGGTCGCCAGCGGGTCTCGGCTCAGGGTCGTACGAACAGTACTGCACTCTGGGTCTTTTGCTGGGGCCACACAGAGTCGAAGCAAACCGAAATTGCAGTGTACAGAATAAACTCATGTGGAAGTCTTCCAAATCTAAGAACTTGGACCTTGTCTCAACTTTCATTTTGACAGATTTGACCGGCTTGTGTTTGGAGCCGAAACCTTCAAAACGTTGACGCCACAGGGATCCGCTTTCAGTCCTGTTTCGCGAGGACTCAGAAAACGGTCGCATTTTGGAACCTGCATTTTGTGCTGGCGAGCCACTTTCGAGCTCATTTTTGGAATCGCACAATCTGGACGCGGAGAGTGTGTGATTGTGTTTTGTTTTGAGCTTGTCTCTTTGAGTTATTTTTTTAGTTTTGTTTTCGTGTGGCTGTTGGCCTCCCTCGGCGTCCCGGCGAGCTTCGGAGTTGTTCGCATAAAGCGATTTCGTGTGGCTTCTTGTTCTTTTGTATTCGTGATTGTGTTTTTGTTTGAATTTGTGGTTCTTTTGCAATTTTAGTTGTGTTTTGTGTTTGTGTTTTCTGATTGCGTTTTGTTTCATTCATTTTTCTTTCATCATTGTATTTTCTTCGCAAAAATCATCATATGTTTCTTTTTCTTTTGTGTTCGTGAGTGCGTTTTGTTTCATTAATTCTTCTTTTATCATTTTTCTTCGCAAAATCCCCATAAAGCGATTTCGTGTGGCTTCTTCTTCTTTTGTTTTCATGATTGCGTTTTGTTTGAGTTTCTATGTTTTGTATTTCAGTTTCCTCCGCGGGGGGGTTGGGGGGGCGCGCAGCTCCGCCCCCATTTCCTTTCCCTTCAAACCTTCCGTTCAATGCCCCTTCAAGTCCCCCTTCAAGCCTCCCTTTGAAGCCCGCCCTTCAAGTCACCCTTCGGGGCTTAAGGGGATTTAAAAGGGGGCTTAAAGGGGGGCTGAAGGGCCCATCCTCAAGCTTTCAGTTCATTCTCTGCAGGACGCCAGATCATTGCTTCGAGCGCTCAGTCACTTTGATCAGGTTTGCTGATGCAGCGGCAACTGATTATCTTTACAAGCGACATCCAGACCGATCTCGGTAGTTGATCAATGGTGATTTCACCCCAAGCTTGGATATTTGACAGACCCAGCACACTTGACACAGTTGGTGGATATCTGGCATCAAGTTGTTCAAACCCAGATTTGACTTGTCTCTAAGGATCATGTCTTGAACAAGATTGACGTGCTGAAAGCCCATTACACGTCGTTTTCACATGAGTTGATCCTGTAGAGTTCGATGGCTTGATGACAGAAAGTCTTTGTGAATGATGCCAAGAGCACTTGTGTTGCATGTGACTGTGAACTTCGACTTGTTGTGCTTGTTCAGCAGAAGAGATTTCAAACACCCACAACATGCAATTTTTTGCAGTTCGTTCACTCTTCAAGACATAACAGCTCCAAATTTATGCTTTTCGAATTTGCTTTTGCGTCTTACGCTCATAATGATCTTCGTTTTGCAACCATTGCCTGTTAGAGCGAACTAAGATTTTGCATTCGGATTCGCATATGTCATGCTTTCACATGAACGACAGGAATGCGCCAAAGCACATCGAAACCAAGCCTCGTACCGGTCGTTTCTGCGTAACGACAGATAAAGTGGATGCGCTGAACTCCCTAGATGCAGTTTGGATCTCAATGTGCAGCATTGTGCCAGTATTTCTGGTCGACGTGGTGAGAGAACATCCATCCAATTGCCCAGCAAACGGCAGAGTTCTTCGTACGCTTTTCTCGCGACCGCCCGCAGAAGCGTTGAGCAGTTCTACAGCTTCTTCAAGCTTTCGGTTTGTGAATTTTAGAGTGTTTCTGAGCTTCTTGCCGAAATCGTCATCCATGTGTCTTCTGTGATTCGTAATTAGCAGTCGTAGCAATAGCAGGTACTTAGTCCAATGTCACATCATTTTTCAGTTCTTGCTTATTGTTCGCGACTTCATACTTCCAGCCACTTATTCTTAGAGACTTTTTCTGCGATTTTGGGCCACGAATCAGCCGAAGGTTCTCGGCAAGCTGTCTGCTCGACTCATTGAAGAATGTTTTTGTACATTCGAAGGGTCTCAATCCCACCCTCTTTTGTTGAATACTGGAAGAGGTGTGGCGTTTTCCTCAAAAGGGATGTTTATACAAAATGCAGTTTGTTGGTCAGAGTCACGGACCGGTCGTCACCCAAGGCAGCACTCGCACCAATAAAGGTGACATCCATGCTGGCTGTGGTCAGTTGTTGCAACACAGTTTCGGCAAGCATTGTTGGCATTTTTGGCTCACTATCGTCAGCGTTTCAACATGCGAAAAGCCCCGATAGACCAACTGGAAGCTCACTAGCAGCACCTTGGAGGTTTGTCGAGACCTCGAAGGCCGTGACACCACATCACATGAGAAAAATCCAACAGTTGCGCATGCTTGATATATTTTGATACAGACTATTCCGACTAGGCCGCCTTATGAACTGATTATGGCGAGTTGCGAACCCACCTGCTAAATGCAATGGCGAGGCAGTGCAATGCATGGTTCGTTTTGAGCAGGGGCCCAGCAGTGTATTGAAATAGCAGTTTGTGTTGGCGTGACTCTGTGAAGTCCTTCTTGTTATTGTTCCTGCTACAGTATATAGACTGACAGACATACTCTTGGTGAGCGTTGTCGTTTTGGAGGTCCAAGCCAAACATCCTCGTGACCGGCACACCTGGCGTCGGTAAAACAACGTTTTGCGAGGCGCACCAATTCAGTGTGAGATTCTTGTTGCATTGAACAAGAGAACTCTGCGAAGGCTTTGGCTGGTTCGACGCTGTTGCAGCACCTAGAGGCGTCAGTTGAAGTGGCTATGTGGATGTTGCTGGTCCAGGGGGTTCTGCAAGGAAAAACACGTTCTATTCTGCACTTCAGGTCAGTAAGATGGTGCGCGAGAAAAGGCCGCGAACTCAGCTTGTATCGTTTCTGGAGGCAGTATAACAAGTGGTCGGTTGGAGGGCAATAAGAGCGTTTGTGTTGGAAGGGGGCTGCGCACCTCTGTATGACAAGGTTGTACAAGGAATGGGATGACGAGTTGGACCGCGCTTTGGTGTGTGCGCTTCCATGCTCTGTCTGTGTGCAAGTGTGCCTGTGAGAGTACGCAGATGTGGGAAGTCCAATTGACGGGCAGAAACCTGCAGGACTGCAGCATTTTCGATGAGGAAATGGCTGCTGACCAAGACCTCCGTTGTACGCACATGTCCAGAAGCCGCTATACCCTCCTTCTAGAAGACTTCAGGAAGTTCCTGGGCCTTGATTTGTTCTCGCACACGCCATACAGGTCTTATCGTCGTTGGCACATGCAGGAATGTTCGAGTCAATGTAGCAGTCTTACAGGTTATCTCTTGAGTTGAAAAGACTCTTGCCAGAAGTTGTTGTTACAAGGTCTACGACGCCTTGGAACCCCTGCTGGACATTCGGCCAACAACTGACTCAAGTTGCAGTGGTTGCAGAGGAATTGACAGTGTTGCGGAGGCCCAAAGGCTGTCGACGTTCTTTCTGACTGACAGATAGACAAGTGTCACTTAGCCATGGGGCATGTTCTAGAAAAGTCAATATGCACTATGTGCACTTTTCATCTGGATGAATGGCGAAGCGATTTTTTATTTCTGCTCCGAGGAGGGAGGCGGCTGTGTGATAGACTTCCACTCCTCTGCATTCTTAGATGCCAGGTGCTCGGATGCAGAACTGTAGCCTAATGGACTGGACCCGAGCCCCCACCCCCACCGGGGAATCCTCGATCTTGAACGTGTCACGCACAGACCTTTGCCGCTACATTCCTCTTGATGTTGTTGTTTCGTGATGCAGTGCGACTGTCGACCTGAGGATGGCCTGCTGGACCTCGTTGTCGTGCTCCGTGCTGATACCAGCGTGTCCCGCCCAGAAATATGCAACACTTGTGAAGCCATAGCTGCCAGAGCTGCCAAGCGTTCCGAGACATTGTACGACCGTCTCGAAAGAAGACACTATCCTGAAAGCAAAGTGAAGCAGAACGTCGAGGCGCATCGGCGCATGGAAGGGAAGTGCAACAAGTTTCGATGTAAAGCTCTCGAAGTTTTTGGTCAGGCGGAGATCTTCCAGACCTGTTTGGACGAAGCTCGTGAGGAACGTGGGTTGAAGATTTCGTGAGTCTTCGTTACAGAAACTCGGCGAGCAGGCTTTCGAAGAGACAGAGCTGGCGATTTGGGAGCTGCCCCACGACACGGAGGATCGAAGCAGATCATAGACGTGCCCAGGAAGTCCCTTCCCCCCCGATGTCAGGAGCACATGCAGGAGGCCTTGGAGCGGGTGCAGCGTGGGCCTCGGGTGCTTGAGCGCAATCTCCCTTGAACCATCTTGAATCCATCTTTCGCCAGGGAGTTTGTACAAAGCTACACGCCGGGGTGACCTAGCCGCAAACGTGCCCTCGCAGCTCAGTCTCACCGGGACCAAAGTTGCCTCGAAATGCCACGCAGCGACTCAGCAGACGAGAGAGGCGATGGAGTTCTTTTTCGCGGACCGCTTCAAGGGACACAGCCACCGATGCTGCCGCGTTGATTACATCAGCTCTCCGCGATCTCAGCGTTGGGCTACAGAGTGTAGAGTCGGCTGCATATGTAGTACTTAACCCGCAGTTTCGCTGCATGCAGCCATGACTGCAGGAACGCAGATAGTGTCGGTATTCGATAGGGATGTTGAAGGCAGTTTCTTGCCCTATGCCTTCGTTGGTTTCCTGGGGGACAACCCGGTAACATCAGCGCTGCAGATGCTGGTTGCAGACCGTCGGATGTTTTCCAATCTAGAGCCCGAGCTCCTGCGTGGAAGCTTGGCAAAGACATTGGACTTTGACGTATGAACTGATGAGTGGCACTGAATGCGCAATAGCGGCAACAATGAAGGGCAACAGTGGCGGGCGGGCCTTTAGGCAGCTTTGACAGTCGAAGGGAGGGAGGGTTTCCGAGAGAGAGAGAGAGAGAGAGAGACCCTCGATGGAAGGAAGGAAGGAAGGAAGGAAGGAAGAGAAGGTGTTCGAGATTGCCCGCCCGAAGTAGTGGGGTCGCGCTTTTCCCTCCTCCTCCTCCTCCTCCTCCATTTTCGTACAGCACAGCGACTTGGGGCGACGCCTCACGGTGGGATTTGCCATGGATCGCAGGTGCGCATCCGTGCGCGGGGGGATAGGCGTCCGCCTGCCTCCTCTGTCCTGGTATAAAGAGAGAGAGAGAGAGAGTGCTGTCTGCCGCTACTGTAGTCTGTCGCATGTAATAATTACCATGCTTACCGCCAACAGCGGGCAGCCCCTGGGTGGGGGGCTCGCCCCTTCAAGCCTGGTGACAGAAAGAGAGAGAGAGAGAGAGAGAGAGAGAGCTCCCGCGGGGGCTCGCCCTCAGGCCCGAAGAAAGAAAGAGAGAGAGAGAGAGAGCGAGAGCTCTCGCCCCAAGCCCCAAACAAAGTAAAGAGAGAGAGAGAGAGGGTCAAGCCGAGCCTTGTGGAGGAATAACCTTCATAAGGACCCAAGAAATCCCGCGAAACGCGGGTGTGCGAGACCGCACGAAGGCAGAGCCCGGACGCTGCTCTGTCTTCACGCCCGGTAGAGAGAGAGAGAGAGAGAGAGGGAAGACAGCGGCCACAAAGAATGGGTGATAATGTGTGTGTATGTGCGAGTGTGATTGTGCATTTGTTTTGTATTGCTTAGTTGACTCAAGGTATTCCTCGGCATGTGGCGCTGGCTGGCTTCGGAAGCAATCTTCGAGCGCCCGACAGTGGCATGTTCAAGATAGGTCCGGCAAACTACGCTCTAAGCCGGAGGCAGGTTTCTCGGGTCTCACCCAGAGTCACCAATCTCGAATCAATGCTTTTTTTGCGGTCTCTACCAACAGCAATGCAGCAATGCATGCCTTTTGTTTAGTGTCCCAAAGTCTGCTAGCCCTTGCTATCACCTTTGGAGCTTCTCGAGTCGGGCTGTCAGGGTCCAGACCTTCGATGCGTTTATCAGTCGCGACTGGCGCGCCTCGCACCATGCCAAGCACCTCGGACTCCCAACGGTCCAGCTGCATGTGCTCCAGCAAGACTCCACGGTCTAAAACATTCCTGTGTTTAAGGTTCCTATGTTTGACCATCATCCATAACTCACCGGCTGCAGCCATTGCAAGCTTCCTGGCCAGCTGTCTTCTGGGAGTCTTCGTGCTGTGCGAGGTGCACTAGCTCTTGTGGTTCGTTTCTGGTTTGAACCTGTTGGTTTCTCGGTTGTTTCGTACTTTTGCAAGTTGCACGGCGGCTCACTTGTTCTTTTTCATGGGCAGGTAATGGATGACGACCTAGCTTTATTGCTGACGCCGCTTTGCGTGGTAACTTTCTACATCGTCCTGTTCTCTTGGCAGTGGATTCGATGCCTGATCCGGAGACCCGTGCCTTGCCCTGATTCTGGCTGTCGGCCGCGAACCTGCGAAGTCTTGGAAGTGGGGTATGGGCTACCGGCTGTCAGGTGATGCTCTTCTTAGACAAGTTTTGCATTGTGCAGCACATTGAAGAGTTGCTTGGCTTCGCTTTCCCACTACCCGAAGCCCACAGGCCCATACATCCCCTGTTCGTCAACGAGTGGTCCTAGGTTGAAGATGAAAGGAATTCTTGGCCTTGGGGTGTTCTTGCTGCAGTCGAAGAACCTGCTGGTGCTGTGGTCACCGCAGACATTCAGCTGCAGTGTAAGGATGGTCTTGTTCTGAACTGTACTATCAATACTATCATGTACTATTGGTTCGCGCATCAGTACTTGGATGTTTCTTCCAACTCTGGACCTTCCAGTCGCGCGTTTCTCAAAACTTGCAAGTGTCCCGCTGCAGCTGCTTGAAGCCATCACTCATGGTCACCTCCGCTTCGACGGATCTCATCTCATGAGGTCGCCTCCAATGCCAGCGAACATAATCGGTTCGCAACGGAACAACTACCGAGCCGCGGCCGCTTGCTCCGGACCGGAGTTTGCTTTAGGGTTTGGAGATTTTTCTGGAGATTTTTCTTTTGCTCAACGGTCGGCCTTTTGTTGGTATCTGCGTCCTGGCCACGCTCTGCCCGTCCTGCTTGGCTTGACCAGGAAGTGTGTGTGCGCCAATGTACCAGATCCTTGTCGTTCCGGTTTGCTCCGAGGTGGGCAAGAACTGTGAGCACGTTTGCTCACAGTACCTTGTCACCGTCTGTCAGCTGCCGCTTGCCAGCTCCTGCCTTGCCATTTCCGGCCTTATCCGCGTTCTCTTCGCCGCTGGTCTCCGAGTGCCCAACTTAGACCCCCTTTGGCCGAACATTGGTTCTGACCGGGGAGGACTTTTGCCCTCGGATAAGAAAAGCGGTCCGTCGCTTCGCCGCGTGTCCCGTCCCAGAGCAGCAACCCTAAAGGCAACGGCATGTTTTCGAGAATCGATTCGTCCGGACAGGAGGTCAAGAACCAATAGGGCCGAATCATGGATCAGGTTACGCAACAAACGGCAAGCTTCGCCATACCGGGTTTCCGTTTCACGTTGATGACAGCCGTGACTGTGCCAGGTACTTTAGCCGATGCTTGGCTGCAGCTGCAATCCGGCATATCATGAGACCACAGCATACTTCTTGGTGTTGAGTTGTTTGTCAATATCCGTGTTTCTGTTTGGCAAATCTTCGCCCCGACCCCGAGGACTCTGGTGCACGTACGAGCTCGTAACTTTTCTGAAGGCCAGAGTGTTTTTCGTGTCGTCGTCCCGACATGACAACGTCTTGAAACACATCTATAGTCTGTAGACATCACTTGGATTGCGAACGTTTGAAGAGCAGCAGATACGAAAGCAGTTCACACGGCAGGACCAGCCGTGGCACGACGCAGTGACTTTCATGCCCGTGAAGATGAGCACCTGGGTTGAATTGATTGTGAAGCTCCATGATGATCATGATGTTGGTCATCATCATCATACCCACCATTATCAATGCCATGCGACATCCTGAGTATGGCCTTCAACAACGTCCTCCTCCTCCTCCTCCTCCTCCTCCTCCTGGTCTTACGGACTCATCCTTGAACAAGCAGCATCAGCAGCATCAAAACCACCAGAATTCATCGTCGTCATCATCATCAGCCGTATCTGCATCATGCTGCTCATCATGCTCATCGTTATCGCTAGCACTGCTGCCACCATCATCCAGCGACAGCTGCAGTGGTAGCAGCCGTCCCGAACTTGAATGTCCAGACAAAGGCTGCACTTCAAAAGTTCTTTGACGTGCGCAGCAGATGAGTGTGTATTTTGAAGCTGTTTGGCGCATACGCATCCCCTGCTTATGCAGACTTCATTTTCATGTTTAAAGTCGCTACGTCTTCTGATTTGCCAGCTGTTTTGACTGATGCCATATATATATATATATATACATACATTCAGGATAAAGTCGCCAGTTCCACGCGATTGCACCAGGCTACCTCCTGTTGTTGTTCTCTGCTTTCTGGCACCTGACGGTGTTTACCTACTACCTCCTGCAGGAATGGCTGCTTGGACCTTGATCTGCAGCCTCCGACTGTGACCATCATGTCTTGGTCGTCTGGGTCTTCCGCGCGGATCGCCTAAGGTTGGACATTCTCATTGGCAATGATGAGGCGGACGGTATGTTTCTTACTTACTTGCTAGTCTTGGTGGTGGGGCTGGTTTGCATCGTGATCCCTTTCGTGAACTACTTGGGCATTGAGCTCATGAGTGACCTCGAAATCTTGCCGGAGCAACTTTCAAGCTTTCGCATTCAAGCCACGCGGCACTGAGAAGTGTCTGTGCAAACTCAGAGTTGCTGACACTAAGGTGCTTCGTTGGTTTAGGATTCTCTTCATGAGGCCCCATCAGACGAGAACTGCTGCAAGGTCTAGTGACGGATTGCGATGGTTTCACCAGCCGGTCACCACTCGCATTGGTCTGGAATTGGTGTCACTGAGGATGCTTCCTGTTTCTGCTGCTCGAACGAGCATATCCACCCTGTCAGCGGTCGCAGCCTACCGTGCGACCGGCAATTGGTGCACGAGACGCTGCACAGCCACTTGGCTGCAGATCATTGCTGTAAAACTTGGACATTGACTTTTTGTCTTCCGCATGCCAAAAGCCCGAGATCCACCCACAGGCTGGCGCAGCCAGGCGGACGGTCACACAGAGGCAGGTCCCGCCCTTGCCGAGGTTGTGGCCTCAGTTCGGTCGCCGGTGTAACCGGACAGAGTCTGGCTCGGAGTTGCTTGTGGCACCGCGAGGATCCAGAAGAAACTTTGGAGTTCTTCAATGCGCTGGTCCAAACCCGTTTGTCTGAAGTGGTTCTCCAGAGCATGCGGGGGACCTTTCCAGTCAAGTACGTGCTCTACATGACCTGTGCGTCCTGGCCGCTAGCAGCAGCTGAATTGTGTTGGTTTTGCGAATGAGGCTGTCTCCAACACTCGGGGCTGAAACTACTCTGAGGGTGACGGATAAGACCGTTCCTTTCAGCAGCTTCACTGCGAAGCGAATAATTTGGGACACGTTTGTAGGACGTGGGTTCTCGTGCGTTGTTTTTCCGTCTTATCTCCCCGCTCCTTCGATACGTAGCCAGCTTTGGAAGTTCTTTGAAAGATTTCATCCTGAGACCTCTGATCTTTCGGATTCGTGGAGCGGTCCCCTCCTGTACCTCAGCGTCGCACTCGTTGTATTGGTTCTTGTAGGGACTAGTGCCGTCAGAACAGGTTTGCACTTTCCCGTTTATCGCGGTGTACATCTCAAGAGGCATCATGAAGATGCTGGAGGGCCCGGACCTGGAGGATGGGGAGGAGGAGGAAGCGGAGGAAGTGATGGTGGCACCGAGGCGGATGCTGCGAGGCTTTTGCCAGGCAACCTACCCTGTACTGGTAATCCTCTTCGCAGCAAGAGGATTTCAGCCACTTCTCAAGCTTGGACTGTCCATGCAGAAACTCGTCCCACGAGCAGCAGCCTCGTTCTTGCTGGCACCAGCAACACTTTTCGTCACAATTCTCACATGGTTTCCATTCGAGTACACTATGCTGCGCACAGACGAGCAGGAGGAAAGCCTGCTGTGGTTGTTTCCCTACTTGGTGATGCTGCTGGTAACTGTATGCGCCTACTGCCATGGTCCCTTCCTGGCCAAGCCGAAGACCTTGCAAGTCGGAAAGGCCAAATGCGAGCCAGGGCGAGAAAAGGAGGAAGACGAAGAATCCACGGTCTCATTGTAGTCAGTCAGCCGGGACTTTGTTTGGAGTTCTGACGATCCCCACAGAGGCCTTTGTATCTAGATCTGTTGACGTTTGCACATTTTTAGGGACCAGGACTCTTGGGCCCTCTTGATAGAGTGGTGAACTTGCTGCTTTAATCTTGCACTACTCCTCGCAGACTGCTTGTTTTAACTGAGCAGGCTGCAGCTGCAGGCCTGGGTAGAGAGATTTGAACTGACCTTGCCCGGAGCTCCGCATGTACAAAAAAGGCCGCTCTCGGTCGCGTGTGGGGGCCCTGCAAGAACCGGTCTGATGTGCCAAGTTGGCAAGTTTGCGTGTGTGTAGCCTTCTCAAAACCATACTGGAGTCCGAAGCCGACGTATCCTTGATGCATGAGGTTTTTCGATTTGCAGCCATGTGAGATGTGAGCTTCCGTGTCCGGCTTGATTCGTCTCAGCAGCCAGTCGTCTTATGCACGACAGCCACCTTTTCTTGTCGTCTTTGGCTGTGGGCTGACGTGCAGTGTCCACTTCTTCCTCACAAGTCATCAAATCTGGAATTCATCGACTTCGCCCATTTTTTGACCCGATGCGAAACACCAAAGCCCCGACGTTGAAGGCCGCGAATCCTCCGCACAAACGTTGTTTCCTGGTGCACTTCGACGGTGGCCATGCAAAGTGTGTGCAGAGCATGGCTGCTGCAGCGGACTGATTTTCGTCACATCATCAAGAGGAACAGGCCCTCCCTCGAGGCAACTTGCTCGTGGCAACGTCTCCGGCCAGCGACATCACGAAGTCTGTTAAGCCTTCGGAACTCTCGCTCGAACTGCCTTGGTGTACCGCGCAGCATGGAAGACACGTTCATGTCGATACAATTGTCAACCACTGTATCCCAAGCAGCATGCACACAATCTTTTGCAAGCTTGGTGCAAGAGCAAACATAGCTTGGTTCTTCCGAGTTTAAGGATCTGGAGTGATCGAACTTGGAAGCCAAGACGAGTTCGCGACTGTGCACGGATGCTGCTGTAAAGTGGCAACACCAAGCTTCATCGGTCGCGTTGTTGTATTGATGGAAAGTACCATGCAACTATAAAAGTCCGGGGAACATAGTTTTTCCACTATTCGGAAATCTTCCGCCAGATGACGCCGATGATCTAGCATGTAACCGTGCGCATCCAAACAGGTTGGCCGATACGCAGCAGAATGGTTCTCGTGTTAAAGCTGTGGTGGTTGGAGTTGTGTGCACTTGCCCGAAGCCTGCTTCTAAATTTGCAACAAGGCAATCTACGTGCTGGTGTTTTCGTCTTGAAATCTTAACCCCGTGTTGAGTGAATCCAGTTCAACCGCATTGTTTTTTCCTGCGCGGCACGCATTCTTCAATCGCAGTCGCGACCATCAGCATGTTTCGAGCTGGAGTTTGCACCAATCCCACGTTGTCGGCCTCGCTCCAATAGGTCGGGTCGACGCATGGTGGCCAGGGCATGGGCAGGCAGAAGCAGGAAGTGGACCCCCTCGGAGCCCGAGTGAAACAGACTTCGAGGCCGATCGCGATGACCCGGCAGGGCTGCGTGCGTGCAAGCTGAAGGCACGTGCTGAAAATGTTGCGCCGTTCTGATCCGTCCTGTGCTGCAGTGCCCGGCGAAGCAGCATTGAGGGTGCCAGCGGCCGTTGCCTTCCACGTGCCCACTGAGATTTCGCGCTGCCATGCCATCGGTCGGGGGGGAAGCAGCCCTCACACCAGCTTGCGCACTGCGGCTGCTTGCTCGAGCGAGCAGCATGGGTGGCAGTTGTGTGGGAAGCGCTGGACCCGAGGGTGGGGTCGTATTGCAGCAGTGGTTGTTGGCCAGTACCACATTTCCAACGACCACGGCCGCGTCGGCTTTTTGCACGATTCGATTCCCTCTGCTGCGATGCTGCCTCGTCTCGCCCATCCATCCGCAGTGATGGGCTGCGCTGCAGCCGAGCGCTTGAGTGCGATGGAGTGGCTTCGCCGTTAGCAAGCGCGTAGCCCCGAATAGGCGGACGATGGCTGACTCGACGGGAAGATTCCTACGCAATGTCCAGCTCCTGTTGCGTGGAGCGCGGACGTGGCTGGGCCGGCGCTGGTGGGGAATGCGTTCTTTCAAGGTGCTCCCCACGTCCCCCGGCCATCTTGGCCATGGCAGTACCATCGGTGCATCTCCGTGTTGCTTTGTTCCGACCTTCGGCTCCCCTGCCCCTGCGTTGCATTATTTTGTGCGATGCATCGACCAGTTGGGTGGCCACCACTTGGCCTGTGCAGACCCGGGCTTTTCCACTTGACCACCGCGTTGAAGAATTTGAAGCGGCTGCTTGACAAGTATATAGTTGCAGCGAAGTGTTTATTTTTCAAACTGCACCCTCGGAGCGACCAACAGGTGGTACGGAGCCGCTAAACCATGCTGTTTGGAGCCGTCTGCTGCTTGCGTGCGTCCAAGCCATTCGTAGGTTGCTTTTGGCGGCTATCTGTCTAACCGTCGACCAACATGGATGTGACACATGGTGGTGGCTGTGCTTCAGTTGCAAGCATTTCTGTTTTTTCCACACTGAAAATCAACACCAGCATCACAGAGGAGGCTTGGCACAAGGCAGCATGGGCCTTCGTCGGCTCTCCCGGTTTCATACTGCAATGCGTGTGCTGGACGTGGATCACAACTGAGATGATGTTCTACAAAATTTTGCCATGTGATTGGTTGCTGACCAGGTCAGGTCGCCTGAACGCCCGGCCCTTCAGGTCGCAGGGATAAACAACTTAATTACCTGTAAATCTTCCATGTCAATCGGTCTACCACTCATCTCTGGTAGGAAACATGAAATCCACATATTCATCACGGGAGCGTTTTCAAGTCTCAGCGTTTGTTGCCGTGATTTTCTAGTCATTCCAGCCTTTCCAGCGCACGGAGTTTTCCAAACCAGTGACCCAAAAACTCATCGGTCTTCCCGGAACGCATGCTACAGCGCGCTTCGCCCAACGCGTGTTTGGAAGATTGATGAAGATTGATAACATACGTCGCTAGATGCCAATGTTGCCTTAAGCAGTCAGTGGACCGCGTGGGTCGATGCTAACCATATACTACGATTTGCGGTGAGCACAACAAGCTGCATGTGGGCGTATTTGAAGGCCACCAATCTCCTCCTCGATACAACAGAAGTCGCCGCATGAGTGGGATTGGGTGATGATATTTCCATGAGTTTTGCTTGGTCCATAGCCTCTCACGTGACCAGTGGACTCCGAGTCCGCAGTGCATCGGAGGAGTTTCAAGCGACTTGAATCGGCTGAGAATGGCTGAGAGGTTTTGCTTGGTCATGCGTTTAGGGCACGTAAGAGCGCGCGTATCCGCTCTTGCACATTCAATGTTTTATCAGAGGCTGCTCTTATGCCCCGCCATTTCAAGCTGTCTGCATAACTTCCCGGCTGTTCCCGCACTTGAGCTGAATTGTGCATGCGTGTGCATTCTTTGGTTCCGAGCTCGGAATGTTCCATTCGAAATTTTGAACTACGTACCGCTGACAGTTGTTTCGGGACCCGTGCTGCTAGTGGCAGTGAGGAGGGTTTCGGGGGTGGCGGCGAGGACTGGGTGGGACGCAGCAGTGTCTGGTTGCAAGCGGCGGCGTGGAGCAAGGGTACACTGCTTTCGTAGCAAGCACTGCAGGTGCCGGTCCGCGGCACGCCACGCGCCGATCGCGCTCCCTCTGCCTGGCCAGTTGTGTTGGCGCGCAGGTTGGCACGTGCACGAGGCGCTGCGACCGGGGTTGGGCCTCCGGTGGATGCGGGGGAACGACACAGGCATGCTCAGGTGTGGGCGAGCGCCCCGAACCAGGCTCCGGTGAAGGCGAGCGCAGTCTAGGCCGCCACCGTCCGTGGTCGGACTGGTATAAGGCGGGAGGACCTAGCGCCGGCAGGTGTGGCATACGCCACTGCTGAGTCCGGAAAGGGGCTGCGAAGAGGGCGCATGATGCGAGCTTGCCAGGTGCTTCCGGCGCTCGCCACCGCCGAAGAGCACAAACAAGCCGAAGGTTGCGGTCCAGAACAGCTTGTAGCTGACCCCCCCATACGGGGTTAGCATCGCACGTTCCATGCGGCAGCACGCAGAAGAGACTTATAGTCCAACGATTCAATCGGCTGAGAATGGCTGAGAGGTTTTGCTTAGTCCAGCGTTTAGGGCACGTAAGAGCGCGCGTATCCGCTCTTGCACATTCAGTGTTTTACCAGAGGCGGCTCTTATGCCCCGCCATTTCAAGCTGTCTGCATAACTTCCGGCTGTTCCCGCATTTGAGCTGAATTGCGCATGCGTGTGCATTCCTTGGTTCCGAGCTCGGAATGTTCCATTCGAAATTTTGAATTACGTACCGCTGACAGTTGTTTCAGGACCCGTGCTGCTAGTGGCAGTGAGGAGGGTTTCGGGGGTGGCGGCGAGGACTGGGTGGGACGCAGCAGTGTCCGGCGCGTCCTCCCACCGCTGCGGGCTCATCCTCGCGCCATGGTTGCAAGCGGCGGCGTGGAGCAAGGGTACATACAACCATTGCTTTCGTAGCGAGCGCTGCAGGTGCCGGTCCGCGGCACGCCACACGCCGATCGCGCTCCCTCTGCCTGGCCAGTTGTGTTGGCGCGCAGGCGTGCGCGAGGCGCTGCGACCGGGGTTGGGCCTCCGGTGGATGCGGGGGAACGACACAGGCATGGTCAGGTGTGGGCGAGCGCCCCGAACCAGGCTCCGGTGAAGGCGAGCGCAATCTAGGCCGCCACCCTCCGTGGTCGGACTGGTATATATAAGGCGGGAGGACCTAGCGCCGGCAGGTGTCGCATACGCCAGTGCTGAGTCCGGAAAGGGGCTGCGAGGAGGGCGCGTGATGCGAGCTTGCCAGGTGCTTCCGGCGCTCGCCACCTCCGAAGAGCACAAACAAGCCGAAGGTTGCGGTCCAGAACAGCTTGTAGCTGAACCCCCCATACGGGGTTAGCATCGCACGTTCCATGCGGCAGCACGCAGAAGAGACTTATAGTCCAACGATGTCCAACGTGGGCTAAAATGGCTACGGTTGCCGTGGCTTTGGGCTTGTGCACGGGTGCCGCGCTGCTTCGGATGTTGGCAGAAAGGTTTGTGAGAAAAAACTCGGCGTATCGCATTATTGACATGCCAGGCTGTACAGGGACATGAACCGCGAACATACGGCAATCTTTGCCCGGCATCGTGAAGCAGATGGTTGAATGGAAAATCCATGAAAATCCTAAAAGTTGTCACGTCTCGTCATGCTGACGCTGGTTCCTGCGCCTCCTTGCTGGCCATCGGGCAGCGTCGGTAGGCGCCCAGCTGCGGTCCGCCGCAATCGCTTCCTGAGCCGCCCGCTGGTCTGGTGCTGGCGCGATATATGTCGTCGTCTAAGAATGCAATAATGGTTTCACCCTGTTGCAAGCCAACCGCTGCTTCGCTTGAAGCGGCATGCTGCACTGCACTCCTCGGCTCCGTCACAGTTCGTCACGTAATGTCCAGTGCCGTTCGCGTCGAACCAACTGAAAAGTGCCACAGCATTGGCGCGCCATTGGGTCTAAACCCGGACACCCTGAACATGTCTGACCGATAGCCTTCGCGCCTTCGACCGATCGAAACTGTTTCAAGAAAACTGTGCGTGCCCGCGAGCCACCTACCTATTGCGAGCGTTGCAGCCGGCCGCGACCTCGCACTGTGCTCAGGAACACGATGCCGCTGTAGGCCGCTGCCTTGCCACTACTTTCTTGGGCTTTGCGGATGCTCCGCTGCCCCCCGCTGCCGAACGTGCCTCCCATTTGCCCTTGCAGTGTGGTGGCCAATTGGCTTGCGTTAAGCTCTGGCAGACAGGCATGCAGTTTACTGGGCGTTGCTTTCCTCCACGCCTGATGCCGGAAGGGTCCCTGCTGCTGCTGCTGCCGCCCACCCTATCCACCTTGCAGTTCAAGGTTTCCATGCCCCGCCCTGGCAGGACACCTTCCAAGCTGCCCCGGTCGAATCTGCCAGAGGCGGGGAACCCACGGACTACCTGCGTGGCTGGCAGCGCCCTGCTGCCCGAACTCGCGAGGACCACGCGCTTGAGACGCATCTTACTGACCTTCTACCTGCGTCTTGCGCCTTGTTGCTTTCCCAAGCCGGGCCCCATGCTGCCCGCACGCTCACGGTCTTGCCCACGGCCGATGACTTCACAATCTCCGGCCCGCTGTTCCGAGTTCTCCTGCTCCGTCGCCTGCGCCTTCCTTTGCCACTCGGGCTGCGTACGTGCAGCTGCCGCCGCAGCTTTGACGCCATCGGAGACCACCGCGCGGCCTGCGCCACATCGGGTGTCCTCCCGACCCGTGCACCTGCCTTTGGAACGTGCATTGGCCCGCGTTTGTCGCGAGGCTGGGGCTCGACTCGCCTGGAATGCCCCTGTCGCTGACATGAACACTGATGTTCCAGTCAGCGATGCACGGCCCATCGAGGTAGTGTGCAACGGCTTGCCACTGTGGCATGGCGCCCAGCTCGCCGTCGATGCCACTATCGTATCGCCCCTGACACGTGATGGCCAGCCTCACCCATGGTGCAAGCGCCGATGTTCAGCCTGGCGTCCCGCAGCTCCGCGCTGAGCGAAGGAAACGACGGCAAACCTACCCGGAGCTGCTCCGTGCATGTCGTTGCCGACTCGTTGTGTTCGGCATCGAAACAGGGGACCCGCCTGCCCGCGCATGCCAGGGCCCTGAGCGCGCCAGCTCCCCTTCGCCAGGCTGGGCGAGCTGCGTGGCGGTATGCTGGCTGTCGCTGCTCAGCGCGCCGTCGCTGCATCCCTCCTCGAGCTCCATGCTGACTCTGAACCTGGTGCTGCTGGCGAGCCGCCTGCTCTGCATGAAGTTTTGGCCGACGCACGCTGGCTCGCTGCGCCAGAGCCTAGTCGCTTGCCGGCTCGGCTCGCCTAGGCCTGTGCGTAGCGTTCCCCTCGGCCCGCCGTAATCTGCGAGGAGCTCGTGCAAGGCCGGTGCCGGTCCGGCAGCACAGGGCTCCGTGTGCAGCGGCAGCCCGAAGAACGTGGTTTCAACGCGCTGCGCTCCAACAGCAACGAGGCCACTTCACCGGAGCACCCAAGCTGCCCGTGCAGCCGGGCACCGGAGTGGTGGGAGCAGCGCGGGCGCGAGCAGGCGGAGGAAGGAAGCCTTCGGCGTCCCAGCGGCCTCACCGCCTGCTGCGGTCGAGCTCGGTGAAGGCCTTCGCATGCGCCCGGTAGCTGTGCGCACAGCAGCGCAAGGATGCGCAAGGCGTGGTCTGTGTGCCGGGGTGTGGACGGCCATCCAGAGAGTTGGGGCTGACAAGCGTAGCATCGACGGCGAGTTGGGCGCCGTCCCAAAGCGGGCGGCCGTTGCAGACGACCTCGATGCACCGGGCGTTGTGAATGGGCACATCGAGGCTCATGGCCGACAGAGCAACGTTACGACTAACGCGGGCTCCGGCTTGTAGGCAGACCCTTGCGCGCTCGACGGGCACAGCTCGGTAGGCCGGACGTGGCACAGGAGGATCCGAAAGTGGGACGAGGGGATGGAAAAATCTTCAGAGGTAGGTACGGCCTGTGAAACAGCAGGAGATGCTGGTGTGAGATCACAAAAATGCGTCTCGGGTGGCAGCAGTGCGGTGGCGTAGGCAGTAAGTATAGGCTCGTCACCACGGGGGCGCAGGTCGGTTTGGCGCGGAATCGCGTTTTCCCTAGCTCGGTGTGGCCGGATGCAATTTCCTTTACAAACCGGGGTGCATAAGGTCAAACATTGCATTGGCTTTGCATGGGTTGTGAAGCGGCGTCGTTTGAAGCGTTTGTTGTACTTCATTATCGCAAAGGTGTTTTTGGCAAGTAGGTACTGAAGTAGATGCCGGGTACATCTCACGGTATGTCACCCGCCTTGGGTTTCACAGCTTGCGGCCCGCATGGGGCTGACAGCCAAAAAAAGAGAGAGAGAGAGAGACAGAGAGAGAGAGAGAGAGAGATATATATATATATATATATAGATATTTTCGTGCGATCTGCTGTCAAAGCGCTTGCTGAATTCAGTGGCAGAACCGGTTCAAAAGCCAAGCAAAGTGGGAGGCAGACATTGGGACCACGCGACGCGCGGGTTGTATGACGCATTGGGGGTGCATGCCGCAGGTGCGGGTGGCAGAGATGTGGTGGGCTGAAGGGCAGGTCGTCTCACGGCGATGGTCGGTGCATTCCAAGACGTCGGTGCTACATACCAAGAGCTCAGCACGGGAGGCTCGTAGCAATGGTCCCGGGCCCCGAGGTTGGTCAATGTCGCCAGGTATCAGCGACGAAGCAGACGAGACGTGAAACGGCATGTCCAGCGAATTTTCTGAAGGCGACTTATCGGAAAATGCGACAAACTCAAACCTCCGGAACTGCCGCATACCGGACGAAAGGCAAGTAGTGGCAGCGGGGGGGGGGGGTAACGAACGAAAAGCAATTTCAAACTTGAACGTCGGGTTTGCCACACGAATTTCCGATCTTGTTTTGACCAGTGAGTACTAGTAAGGCCTTGTTAGTACGATGCACGTCGTGTGGAAGCTGCACGGCAATCGCTTCTGTTTTAGGTTTTGGCTGCATGCTTGCATCCGTTGATCCAGTATGCATTTGGCTTGTGTTTTGCGAGATAGTTAGCTTTGCGGGAGAGCAGAATGCTGCATCACCCTTTGCTGGAACCTGTCGAAGAGCGTCAGGCTTGGGGTGCATGCCACGTGCTATCATCCATTTGATCATAAGTAATGTTGTTGATTCTTAGCCTGCCGCCACTGCGCATCACCAGGAGCTGAGCCGCAATTGGCCTGCGCTTCGTGGCCAGTCTTTGTCCTTCGATGGTTTGAAGCCCAGCGCACCAGATGGCCCGAACAGCTCAGGTGTCGGGAAAGATGGCAGTATTCTGCAAGAGATACCGGCTGTGGGCGTTGTCTTTCTCATGAGTGCCATCAATGCCGTGAGCTACGGAACCCTGTTGTTTGCAGCGGTTGATGAGCCTGCTGCGAAGGCCAGTGGACATTCATATCCTACGATGGTTCCCAATGGCACGAGCGTGTGGTTGTTGAGCCAATTGGGTGCCCAGTTGGGCACGTTGTTTTTTTCAGACATGCGCAACGGTATTTGTTGTCCAATGCTCGAGATGATACCCATCCTTCATGCACTCCACCTGACAATTTCCAAGAAGATGACGCACAAGAGTCCACCGGAGGTTCAAGCCACCTGTCTTGCAAGCTGCTTCCTGTGCACGGCCAGCATCGGGCTGCTTTTGTTGCTTGGAACGCGCCTGGGGCTCGCCAAGTATCTTCGCGCAGTGCCTCTGATTGTGTTAAAAGGCGCCTTGTTTGGTGTGGCGATCTTCTTGATTTCAAGCTGTTTGCATGTTTCTGCGGGTCTCGCCATACCCCTCGTGGAGACTTGGCAACACTGGATGCCTGCAGTGCTGCTGGGTTTACTGCTCTTCGCACTGGATGAGGCCGTACACTCACCGGTTGCCATTGCTCTGAGTTTGCTGGCTATTGGCATTACTCCTTCTGCTCTTGATGCGCTAGGTATCTGTACGATCGCAGAGTTGCAGCAAGCAACATGGGTTTTCCAGAGCGCGGCAGCGGATTCGGTTGCAGATTCTGGAGCTTGGTACTCTCAAATGCTGGACTTATACAGCTCATGCTGGCAGTACATCCATTGGCCGATCCTTCTGGAGATGATGCCGACCATGCTGGGCATCGCAGCTTCCGCATCTTTGTTAATGCTACGTGGATGCATCGCTCCTGCTGTGTGTTCTGCAACTGAGCCAAGTGAAAAATGCGGAGTGCTGTTCGGAACATGCTGAACTACCAAAAATGATCCATTGATCTTGCTTGGCGGTAACTTCAATCTGTCCAAGTCTGCACCCACTTAGGAGCAAAGGAAACCCACGAAACCCGTCTAAGAGAGTAGTTTTGTTTCTTGCAGGTTGATGGACCTGAAGGCCGTGGAGCTGCTGACGGAGCGAGAGTTCAGCTTGGACAAGGAGCTTCGCAGCATCGGGTTCAGCAACCTGCTCAGTGCCGTACTTGGAGGTGGTTGGCCCTGCTACATTCTGTGCTCCTTGAATGTGACGTGTTATCGCTTGGGTGGCAGGTCCAAGTTTGTGGGGACTTGCCTTTCTTTGGGCGCAGTCCTTTGCCTCTTCGTAGCTTCCAAACTTCTCTATCGGCTTCCGCGAGTGCTGCCGGGAAGTTTATTTATGTGGTTGGGCTTGGTCTTTGTCAAGGAGACCATCGTGGACATCTGCTCCAAGCACACCCACAAATCAGATGTGTTCATTGTGGGCGTGATGGCCTTGGTTGTGAAATTCTACGGATTCAACAATGCGCTTCTAGTCGGCACGCTCCTGGCCATGAGCTTCTTCACAGTCCGCTACAGCGGTTCCCAGGTGGGGGTCCGCACTTCCGGGGATGCGCGCTTCTACCGGGCCATCTGCACGAGAGACTTCACTGAACACTCGGCCCTAGAGGAGTTGGGGCATCTTATCGAGGTTGTGCACATCAGTGGTTTCCTCATGTTCGCTTCCACCCCGGCTTTCACCGATGCCGTGCGAGAACTGCTGGCTGATTCGGCTGACGGTCCAGAATGGATACTGCTCAATTGCCAGAATCTCCAAGGATTGGATTATTCCGCCGCGCTGGAGCTGGCCACTTTGGGCCGCAAGGCAGCAGAGAGCCAAAAGCGCCTGGTGATCACCGAGCTCCAGAGCAGTGTCCAGGAGGTTTTGCAACAGGCCCGAGTGGAGTTGAAGGAGCTGCCTGGGCCAGGCAGCAGTGTTCCTTTCGGTTTGTTCTACCAGTCCCATTACCAGAGCGCTTTGCAGCGCTGTGAAAATGGAGTGCTGTCTCGCCTAGGCCAGCGTTTACCGAGCAAATCCCAGCCTTTGCTTGGGTCGGAGCAGGCCTTCATGCGTGAAGTGCTGAAGCGCTACTTCGGCGACTTCTTGCCGAAAGACGGCTTGCAGGACAAGGCTCTCGACAGAGCGATGGGCCTTTTCGAGAAAAAGGTGTTGGAGCCGGGTACCGTGTTGTGGAATGCCGGTGAGGAGTGCACAAAGTGTGCTTGCGTGGTGGAGGGCACGATCCACGCCTATGCACACCCAAGCAGGAAAAGGGCAACACCGCTGAGTCCACAAAGAAAGATCTTAGGTGACCTAGGCAGGGATCGGTTGGTTTGCATCGCCGGCCCAGGGGATTTCATTGGCTTCCTGGCTTTTGTGAACAGTTTCCCCTACGAGCATACCGCTTTGGTGCCTTTAACACAGGGCGAGGACAGCGAGGAGCCCGAGTCCACGAGCATTCTTGTGCTGGAGAAAAGCAGATATGAAGAGCTCTTGCTGACGGATCCACCTCTTGGCCAAGCTTTGGTGCGAGGTTTCCTGAGACAGATTAGCTATGAATGGCGGGAGCTTTCACGGTTGTCTGTATCTTAGCGGACTTCTGCCACCCGTCTTCCACGTGTGCTCCCGCCACTGGCAAAAGCAGGGTGACGTATTTGCACATCTTCAGATTCGTGCCATGTTGAGCTCCCGAAGACATCCTACGTTTTCAATGCATTGGCTCAAGGGGTCCGGTATGAAATGGAATTGTGTCGTTGCTGTTTGGACTGTGTCCAGCGTTGGCTATGCATCTTGTGCAGAGGATGCCCAGGCGCCAACATGAAATGTGTGACCGCGGACCTTGATGTTATCATGTGCAGGTTGAATCTCGCGATCTTGCACTTATACGGTTGCTGCACATCACCGACAGCCACATATCCTTGAGCAATGAGGCCAGAGCAGGCATTCAGGGGTTTGAGAAGCTTAGGGTGATATTGTGGGTTCGCCGAGGGCTTGTATCAGGAGACTTTGTCAGGAGTGGTGCAGCCGAAACGTATGAAGCTGTCATGACTCATGACTGAAAGGCACCGCCACGGTCGACACGCATGTTTAGTGCGTTTGCAAGGACCGCACTGTGCAGTGTTGGTGCTTTTGTTGCCTCGCTGGCAGTTTGGTTGGAGCGCAGTCTGTAGCTTCTTGCTGACCTGTTAGGAGCAGAAACCGTGACACCAAGTCGCTGACGACCCCGCAGCAAGAGCTCGGAACCTACTCACTTTTCTCCGGCAGCAAGACCTCTTGTCGCACATAAGCCGTGTTGCGTGTGAAAGAATGGCTCCAAACTGCGGGCAAGTCCGGATACGGGGTACCAACGGCGGGGTCAGCAGGTTGTTCGGTGGTCTTTAACAACATTCCAGCTGGCCTTCCGCCTCCTTGCTCCAGGTTTTCGCGGCTGGTCGGCCTGGCTCAGGACCTACAAGTGGATCTTGTAGTGCTAGGCCAGGCGGGAAGCTTGTGAGAGCTCCTTGCGGAGCCACTGTCTTCCTGGCAGAGGTGGAGATATCGTGAACTTTCCGTCCAACCAAAGCGTCGCTTGGGTGCTCGAGCAGCTGCGGACCGCAGGTGCGAGCTGTGGCACGGAACGGAGCGGCCGGAGCGAAGTGTTGAGGTTTGTTGCCTTACTGCTTTGGGTGTTGAACACATGTTGAATTGGCAGTGTTCAGTGTGGCTGACAGGCACGAGCTTTGTCTACACGTCGGGAAATCACGATTGGCTTTTGGAGGGCCAGCAAGGAGCCTCTAGTTACGATGCTGCCCGAGACTTGGGCGGCATTCAGCCAGACCGCTGCCTTGGCGCATGGTGGTTCGCGTTACATCTGCCAGGAATACCGGAGCTGGCGTCAACTCTCAGGCTGGACGTAAGCCACAGGGACCCAGAGGGCACAGGAGACTTACCAGTACCAGTGCTGTATGTGCTAATTGCTACAGGCAGCACCTAGACTCGGCCCAGAGCCGTGGACGTCCACATTTGTTGTCTCTCAGGCCGTTCTACGAGCAGAGCCTTTCAAACGGAGGGTCATGCTATATGTCTCTGGGCGACTGGAGTCGGCCCGGTGCAGGTATCCTGTACGGTTGCACAATGGTGAAGGGACTATTGTTGCTTTTCATCGACAACTCCAACTACCAAGTGGACGATGACCAGCTGGAATTCACTCGCCTACAAGTTGAAAGCGTGAGCAAAGACACTCCCATCGTCATTTTGTTGCACATCCCGTTGAAGCTTCCTGGCGCGACATTGGCAGCAAAAGAGCTTTGTGGTCATGCGCAATGGGGTGCTGCGACTGACACAGTTGCTTGGTCGCCATTGTGCAAGTGCAAGCATGTGACAGCGTGTGCATTCGCTCATGAGCACATTTGAACCTGTGACTATCTAAGTTGTGGCAAGTGGAGGGCAGGCCAAGATGGCCGGCTGGCAACTTGCAAAGCACTCTTGACTTCAGGGACTTGCTGCAGGCGAAGGCTGCCCCAACAGGTCCCGTGGTAGCTGTTCTTTCAGGCGGGGGCTCGGAGATGGGCAGGAGGCAAAGCCCCGCCGTAAGCATGTTTGCCAATCGGTTTTCCAGCTGCTCGGCCCTGCAGGGCATACTCACGAGGACGCGGTCGTTTCCCTTAACCCGCCTGTGGATGCCTGTGAACCGTCGGGTCGATCCTGGACGGTGCGCTCAGAGGCCTGTGGGGATGCGAGGTGTTTCTCAGCCTGCTAAGAGACGAAGGAACCCATGCATCCCATGCATTGCAAGGGCGGACGCGAGAAGGCGCAGGAGGCAGCGTCGGCTTCACTTCTTAAATTCCAATGAAGGTGTTTTGATTTGCGGAGGCAGACATGTCTCGATGTCTGAAGAGAATTTAACTTTGTTTTTGGTCACGGAGGTTAGGCTCATACACGCCTTCTGGAGATCTCTGCTGGACTGTTTCGCGGGTAGTAGCCGTTTACGATGACAGTTCGTTGTTGCACGTGATTCGCAGGGCGCCGGAGCACTCCAGTACACCACCCACACCGCTGCAGAAGGGGCCTACCGGGTCCTCACCATCTATTGACAGCGATGGATGATTCTGCAGCAGCGTGCCAGTAGAGCATCTTCGAAAAAGACTGTAATTGCAATGAGCCAGTCACTATCATGATGATGCAGTTGCCGCCCCAGGCTGTTGCATATTGGACAGGCTGTGACATTGCCATAGCTTCGAGGACACGGTGGTTTGCTTCGCCTTGACCACCCTTTGGTTGTTCAACCTTCACCCTTTCTGTTTGTCCTTCAAGCCACGTCCGTCAACGCCAAAAGAACAAGTATTACAAGCTTTGTCCTGTAATGTGCTGATGAGCAACGCCATGGTTACACACAGACGCACGCACGGAGACACACACACACACACACACACACACACACGCATGCACGCTCGAAGGACGAAAACCGATGCGGGTCCCTTCATCAGACTGTTAGATTATCGCAGATGTAGGTTAGATGACTTGATGATTGCATTTGCCATAGTTTCTTTTTCGTGCCTCATCTCACCCCCCAATGCTTCGGAAAAGTGCAGCCTTGCTGCCATGCTTGGCCTGAATACCTTCCTCAAGCAAGGCCTCTTGCTTGCTAGCAGACTTTGGTTAACTTGGTTAACATTGGGTGGATTCAAAGAGTAATATTGGGCCAAATCAATGCGCTGTACGGTCAGACAGATACGTTCAGTGAAGTGTCAAGGAATCTTTGGCACTTATGTTGCACTTTGGACCTCGTCGCACTTGTTGGTCTACTCCAGCCAGCTTGCATCTGCCCCATCGTACAACGCGACATCGGTGGTGATCCTGACGGAGACCGTCAAGTTGATCCTGGCCACTGCCATGTTTGTAGTCGGCTGCCCAGTCCGCCCAACGGGAGATATACGGCTAATATACGGCAATAAGAAAGGCGAGGCTGCGCTGAGCATAGTCACATTGATGAGGCTTACGATGGCCCCCTGTCCGAGATGCTGCGTATGACTTGCAAACAACACCGGGTTCTGCTGAAATACGCCATACCGGCGGTGCCGCTGAGCGTGACATTTCGATAGAGCAAGCCTTGTGTAAAGATATCTTTGATATCGTGTATCTGTTTCCCCCTGCAATGTCGCATATTTCCAGGGCTAGCTCTGATTTACGTGTATTCCGGCTGTAGGAGATTTCCACGAGGCTTTATGCTCTGTACAACAACCTGCTTTACGTGAACCTTGCGGCCTTTGATCCTGGCACATACAACGTTTTGCTTCAGCTCAAGATTGCGCTCACCGGCGTGCCGCTTTTCCAAGATATGATCCGGCTCATTCCAGTCTTCGTTTACGGAGACTTACAAGCCTGAACCTTCGAATTGCTGACTTGTGTAACTTGTGCCGTGGTAGCACTTCTTCCTCCGTTGACACCAGACCTGTGTAGGACTTTGGAAAGCCGCTAGGTTTGGACCTGGAAGCTAGGACCTAGCAGATCCGAAGGCTTTACCAGCTGCTCTTCGCGCGGCAGCTGAATCGGAACCAGTGGCAAGCCATTCTGCTCATCACTGCCGGCTGCATGTGCAAGGAGTCAGGCAAAGTCAAGGCACTGGGTTTCCAGGCAGGGACGCCTTGCCGAACTGCGCTTCTCTTGCTGTGGGATGTCCATGGTCCGATCAGGCGAACTTGAGCTCCTGGCTTCTGCTGATCGTGCAGATGCTGTGCTCGGTTCTTGCCGGAGTCTACAACGAGGCACCATGCCACGGTTTGCTGACTCAGGTTGAGGATGCTGTCTGCTTGTGAGATGCTCGGAGGTTTTACTGAAGGGGTCTGACGGTGCCAAAAACAGTGTCCCGACGAACCTTCAGAGACTCGGCTGTGAGCCTAACCGGCTTGAAAGATCACGAGTGCTTTGACTACAGTATACTTTTCGTACCGAAGGATCATGATGGTGGCTGAATAGCTGGGCTCCAAGAGATCAGCACTTTGATGCCCTGGTAGTAGCAGCAAGGGGAGCGTGAGTGGCTGGATAGTCTGGGGTTCGTGAGAACATAATACTCAATCCAGTTCAACAAGATAAGGTGCCAAGGGGTCCTGGTCGGTAGCAGAGGCCTTAGATGATAAAGCCAGGTGAACCAGACCTGACATGCTGTCATCCAAGGAATGCCTTTATGTACTTTCAGTCAATCCTCGTCAATGGCGTCCTTTTGGTCTGGGAGGGTAAGGCAGTTCGTTCACAGTTGAAAGCGCGGGCCAGCGTCTCCAGAGGGTGGCAGCTCAGAGACACCGACCGTGTCAGTTGCAGGTGGCGGAAGCCGTCTCTCCGGAGAACGTTGCTGCAGTCCTTACTCCAAGGCGGGTCGGGTTGTTTGCACGATTGTGATGAGTGAGCTGCGAGCTGCAGAATCCTGCAGGGTACCTACGCAGGGCAGTAGGGGCACCCTGTGTGGGGTCTACGCATGGCGCTAGCCCTGAGGGTGATCCTGATCATCGGGATCATGTCCTCCGTGGGTCTGGTTACCGGCTTCTTCCTGAAGCATTTGGACTCCGTGCTCAAAGCCGTGGCATCTGCCTTAGAGGCAGAAGACGAAAGATTCAGGCTTACCGGTCTGTGGTCGTGTGCAGAAGAAGGGCTTATTGTAAACGCTAAGGCGTCATTGGCGCAGCGGAGGAGGGCAGGGGGGACGGAACCGTGAGAGGGGGGATGGCAGGCGAGGGGGGGGCACAGTCTTTTTGCTCAGACTGCCCACAACCACCAATGCCCATTGGAGGACACGAATCTGAATCACTTGACCTCAGGGCTTGTGAATGGGTCCAGGTGAAGGTTCAGGATGCCAGATAAAGAAAGGGTGGGCCACTGGAGGAGGGGATTAAAAGGAGCGGAAACAAGGGATTCTTCTGACCACTTCGGCCACGGCTAAGGAGAAGTTTTTGAGAAGGGCCCATATCAAGAGCATTCAAGTTGATTGCAGGTGGTATTCACGATGCTTCTGGGCTTCGTCCTGTTTGGAGCACCGCTGGGCGTGGCCGGCGCGGCCTCTGCTGCCCTGGTTGGTTCTGGAGTTGCGCTGTACTCGCGTCCGATGCCCGTTCCGCCGGGTGCAGAGGATGAGCTGAAGATCGTTTAGCGATTGAAAGCAAAGGGCAGAGAGAGTGTGCTTGTAGCTGTAGCTGGGGTTGGCCCAGATTGTCTGCGGACTTGGTGATGCTTGTTCGAGGATGTGTGCTCAAGCATCAGCCAAAGTAGCTGGTGCACCCTCGGCGAATTTAGATCGAACATCTGCCGGCCCATGCAGATAGTAAGTCGACTGCGAAATTGATCTGGGACGACGGTGCTGGATGTCTGCACCGAAGCAGTTTCTCCCGTACCTGCCGACAGTGGGGTCGATCCGATCCCGCCACAAGCTCGCGCCGGGCTCAGCCAACTGTTATTGTTCGAAGTTGTACTCGCAGCAACTGTTCGAGACTGATGTCTGCCTCATGAAAGGATCGGTCGGTAGCTCGATGGCGGCCGACGGACCCTTTACGGGAAGACTCGTTAGTGCAGGACAGGTGGGAGCCGCATCAGGACGGGCGTCGTGGCTCGCATGTCCAGGCCCCACCCAAATTCTTCAAGGAGTCTTGGAGACTTCTCTCACGCTGGCCCCCAGGAGCCCCAGAACCAGCCATCCTTGGTGCAGCGCTTGCGTGAGGCTGTTCAGCAGAAGTCTTGCGCAGCATGTGGTGTAGTGTAGCCCCGTAGCAAGCAGCTTGGAAGTGAGGATGCAACCGACCTGCTCGCTTTCTTACCGTCTCACGAGTTCTCGCCCGACATGGGAGGTCCAGTCCGTCCCAACGCTGCCCGCCTTGCCACAGACTTCGGACAGGTCAGCTTTGCATGATTCTGAATTTGACGGGCTAGTGACGGCTAGTGTGCGCGGCCTGACAGATTTGTGAAGTGCACAGCGACGGCAAAACACACAAGCACACAGAAGTAGAAGGATGTGTGATGCCGCGAGCATGCACGCCCACGGTTTCATGTACATACATGAGTGTATATGTGTATGTGTACTGTGTATATTTATGTATAGTTAACAAGTCTCCTAATTATCGGTCTGGTGGGTAGGAATTAGGAGATCAGTTTCGCGATCGTTGGAACAGACTTGATCTATTTTCTCCGTGGCCATTTTGGCGATAGCCGATCGGGCCATACCGAAAAATCGGCGTGGGAGGTGGAAGTGAATAGGCTCGCTCGATCGCAGCCATGTCGTTCCCTCCCGCTGGCTTTCATCAAGGTCGGCAGATGGCGGCTCCGATGGCCCCACAGTTCGGGCTGCCCCGCCGGCTTGGTCAGCCTGAGAATCCGGGCAACTGGGGACACTACGTTCCAGGCGAGGCAGAGGCTCCCGAGAATCCCGCGGCTCCAGCTGCCGCATCCGGCGATTGGGGCTCTGGAGGCTGGGGTCGCGACGATCGTCGTGGACGCCGCGACCGCGGGGCTCCTGCTGCCCACAACCCCTTCGCTGTTCAGCGGCCTGAGTTCGTTCGCCAGGTCGTGGTCGAGGAAGAGGACGAGACCCAGAACTCGCTCCTCGTCATCGACAACCGCGACGACCGGGTGATCTCCCCGTTCCAGAACTGGCTGGCCGAGGAGATCATCTCGAATGCCGCCAGCTCGATCAATGTGCTGACGGAGCGGGACTCGGTCATGCCCCCGAACTCGGGCTACCACTGTTCGCTGTTCGCGAACTATACGCTCGATGGCATCAAGGCCGTTCTGCTCTTTTCGATGTCTTCGAAAACAGGGGGACCATGTGCTCAGTGGGACTCCTACGCGAGTCGGGCGCTATCGCACCCGGCTTTCCAGCCCTTCACTTGGCCGGTGATGTTCGACACCTCGGCCACCTATGTGGATGTGAAGGTCTTCAATGGAAACGAGGTCCTATTCCATTGGGTCTTCAGGGGCTACCGCTCGGACTCGGATCTTTCTGTCCAGCAGCAGTTCTGCGACGAGGTGTTGATCCGGTCAGCCAACGAAGGATGGTTCCGACCCTCGATCGTCATCTCGGTCTTCGTTGGATGGAAGGTCTCCGTGACCTCGTTCGAGGTTGGAGCCCGAGTCTACACGATCGGCCCGAGAGGAGCAGTGATGGCGAGCGACCATGCCATGAGCACCTGTGAGCTCAGGGTGACAGAACGATCGTCCCGAGAAGGCTATGGGAACGACGCTGATCGTGTTGAGTTTCGGTTCCGGGACGCCAACAACCGGATCGATCTCAAGTGCGGGAGGACTTCGGTGCCTGGCACGTGGCTCACAGTCAGCCACATCTCGGGCCCCGCTCTGATCAGCACGATCCAGGCCTGTCGGACCCAGCGTGCTCGCGTGGAAGGTCCAGACCACATCCAGCAGTTCGCGCAGCTGTCTGCGGTGATCGCCCCCTGGTACCACAGTGCGTTCGCCCACGAACAGGTGCAAGTGGGAACTGCGACAGACGAGTTCCCGATGGATCATGGGAACTTCCACGTGCGGGCTAGATCTAAGCTCAGGGTCTGCCCACTGGAGTTCGTCCGGCAGGAGGCGCTCGCCCACCGGTCGCACGATGAGAACAACGCCGTTCGAGCTCGGAACGGCCCCCCGGCTCTCATGGAAGAGGCGGCTCGGCAGGCGGTTCAGCAGCTGGGCTCCTCGGTCACTTCGGCGCTCACCAACATGCCCACCTCGGCTCAGCAGGTGTTCGACCAGAGGGTGAGCACTGTTCCGGTGCCGGAGGAGGGCCAGCTCGGCCAGGAGCAGATCGCCGAGGACGTCGTCACCGATGCCCGCGATCGCATGAGGGCCGACATGCGATTCTCGCGCACGTCGGCTGCGATCACGCCTCAGGTTTTCACCGACGTGCTCCAGCACCGTGAGCAGGCGGAGTACGAGCGGATCAGCACGGTCAGGGTGGAGGAGACGGGTCAAGAGATCACGGCTTCCCCCTCCTCTACGACCACGGTGCCGAAGGCGTTCGCCCCGGCCTACCCGCCAGCCAGATCGTCAACGGGGCCCTACACGATGGACAATACAGACTAGTTGTCGATCGAAGCCTAGGTGATGGTCGGTTTTTGTGCACGCTCCTAAGAGAGTGGTGCGCCGCGCGACCGAAGCCTCGTCAGCCGGGCTCTTCCGCGGAACAAACATGCCGAGCGATCCTCTCGGCGCGCTAGATCCCAGCGCATGTTCTGCCGGAAGTGAGATTGATCAATACCTGTCTCAGGCACGGCGCTCGGTTACCATTAGCAGGCACGTGCGATCGTTCGTGCAGCTGTTCAGGCCCAGCATGGATAGGTCCGTTCGGAAGATCCTATCCCTCCCCCTGTTCGGGGATGAATTTTGCCAATGGTTGGTGGATCTTCGGATGGCTCAGTTCGAGAAGCTCACGGCTGTTTCGGACGGGACGATCGCTGAGTGTGTGCAAGCATTCATTGATCTTGTCCCTGCCCTCGAGGAACTCCACACGCCAGATCGGCGGAAGAACGAGGAGGAGCTCGGCAGGTGGGTTCCGTCGATCGAGCTGTTGTTTGTGCTGGTTCGTAGCACGGCAGCAGCGGGCTGGGCTGATCTGGCCACTGATCTGGGATTCGGCTTGGCTGAAGCTCCGGTCGTCTTCGGGCGATCGCCACTGAAGTCGAAGGGGACTGGCAAGGAGCCTCCTATGCCATTGCCGCTCGCCAAGAGGCCGCGGGCGATCGAGCCGAGGCCTGAAGATCCGCAGGCATCGCTCAAAACCCGTGAGCTCGGCGAGGCCCGAAAGTGGGGCATGAGGCTGAAAGCGATCGTGGAGAGGTGCGGCGAGCACGCCGCGATCGCGGGCAACCCGAAGCCGGGATCACCCCTGTCCCAAGATGAGATGAATGCATTGAGGTTGATCGTCTTCGAGAGTGGCGGTTTCCGCACTATCCAGCAGTGCGTTCGTCACTGGGAGAGGATTGAGACTTGGGCGAGGTCGCAGAACCTAGCGGTGATCCCGCTGACTACCGACGTGCTCGTCAAGTACCTCTTAGATCTCTCCGATCGAGGTTGCGGCCCCACCGTGATACCTTCGGTACGTGGGGCGGTCAAATGGATCTGCAAGCGGATCGGCTTGACGTTGCCCGACCTCCTCGATCCCCGGATCATGGCCTTGCAGAAGAAGGTCTATGGCGATCGCGGGAAAGAGACGAGGGAAGCGGTTCCCATCCCTCTGATCTTGGTGGCGGCGCTCGAGCGGTTCGTGTGCGCTCGTTTTAAGTCGAGCCAATTCCCCATGGCGTTCTTCGCATGGTGGGTTCTCGTGATGATCTACTCGTCCCTCAGGTTCGACGACGCGCTCCACGTCGTGCCCGAGGCGCTCGCCCTGAAGGACGAGGCTCTCTATGGGGTGGTTTGGCAGACTAAGGTCGAGCGACAAAAGAAGGGAACGCGGTTCGCGGCGGCCAGAGTCTCCGTCTCCGGATCCGACTGGATGGAAGACGGATGGCACGCAGCTGCGTTCGAAATGGACGATCGCGACTACTTCATGAAAGAGCTCGAATCGGCTGAGCGATTCGCCGATCGGCCTGCCAGCTACCAACGGAGCATCCTGTGGCTGCGGTACGTGCTCACTACTGCAGCTTCGGACGATCTGAAGCGCGGGCACATCTCGCCCGAGCGGCTCAAGGAGCTCCTGAAGATCGTGCCGGAGATCACCTGGCACTCCTGCCGGGTCACGCTGCTCTCGGCGGCGGTCCAGGCGCAGGAGCCCGATAAAGAGATCGGGCTCCAAGCGAACTGGAAGGATCCAAGCCAGCTGGTCCTGAAGTACGCTCGGAGCCGCAAAGAGATCTCGATCGAGATGGTCAAGCGGCTCACGAAGAGGATAGCATCCGACTGGAAATCTCCACCGGAGTTCGAGGCCGACGATACCAATCTGGTCGACTTCGGTGATCTCGCTCTGACCTATGTCACCAAGGCTAGATCGGCTGCGGGGTCCTCAAGGGATCTGAGTCTTAAATATCATGCCATGTATATAGATGGTACGGGCACGGAGCGAACGCTCTGCGGCCGGTACGCGATCACCGAGTGCGAGGATCTCGGCGAGATTCCGCCGAGTACTCAGATGTGCTCGTTGTGTTCCGGTAAGATCTTTACGGAGCCGTGAACACAGCTGTTCGCAGTCACGATGGCCACTCGAGCTGAGCCTCTCCCTGACCGTAGCTTTTCTTTTCAGACAGCTCGTTAGGCAGCCATGGTCGATCGCACCGCATACGCGAATGAGGCGGCGACCCCGAAGCTGAACCTGCGCCAGATCTTCGGGAGACAGGGGCTAGATCCAGCCCTCTGCAGGCTCTCGGCCGACAAAGGTCTCCTCACAGTCGAGATGTTCGCAATGCTGGGGCAGGATCTCACCTCGGCGAAGGCGACAATCCGTCGGCTGTGGCAAGACGACTTGACCCCGCTCGGGGCTGACGCGGCAGCACAGGAGCTCTCCGTGATGTCCTTGGCGGCGGTGTGGCAAGCTGCTCAAGCGCTACAAACGCAATACGCCTCTCGGCGAGCTCGTATGGAGGAAGACCCGAACAAGATCCCGGAGCTCTCCCAGGAGGACCACGCGGAGTTTCGCGATCGCTTCGTGAGGGTTCACCCCGACGTCATCCTGATCGACGCCAAAGAGCCGCATAAGAAGTTCGTCGAACGGCTGTCCCGTGATTTCCTGATCCATGGGATCGTTCCGTTCTACGAGCCGGCCGAGATCAGGACCCGATCGGATGTGATAGTGGTCAAGTCTGGACTTTCTCGGAACGCCGAAGATCTCCTGTCCATCTCTAAGGCTGATCAACCCGAGCCGGTCACCGATGTCACGACTCTGTTCAACCGTCTGCATGCTTT